ACCCTCATGAGGATTAAGCGGTGAATAGATGATGGATTTTAACTGATAAGTGTCACGCTCAATTTGCTTCTACAGCTCTGATAAAGTCACTGTATTAGTCATACTTCCCCTTTTAAAGGCCCGGTTTTGTGTCTGGTGTCTGAAACGTGTGTGTGTGTGTGTGTGTGTGTGTGTGTGTGTGTGTGTGTGTGTGTGTGTGTGTGTGTGTGAGCATCTGTGTTTTGTTACAACAAAGCCCCTCTAATATCTCGGTGCAACTTGCAATGTCTGAGTCTGTGCTGATAACAACACTGGAGCCAGAAATAATTGTAATCTTAACACCTCACAGTGTGAACAGGAAGTAATTAGAGAAAATATAGTGATGCCATATACGGTGATGTTTACGTGATCTAACTGACAGCTCTATAGTGCAACTGAAGGCTTTTGCCCCTCTAGCCACCGGCCATAAAAAACTATGCCGTTGCACATACAGATCTTCTTTCAAAGCAAGAACCTGAAATCAAGATTATGACTGATTCTGTTTTGTTGAATCTGTGAGAGGTTGAATGACTATCTTTGACTCTTTAGGTGGTATACAAGCCATTCACATTGACCCCCATTGCACTGTGCGCTGAAGTTTTTTTTAAAACACTCGTACAAATTAGGCTCCCCTTTAAAGTCTTTTCTCTTTAAAGAGGCTTCTCTCGTTAGTGTTGAAGCTGCACATTGCTGACTTGGACACATCACACATGACGTGATGTTCGGTGATTTTAATTCTTAGTTCTTTAGCCCTCTGAGAGAGGAAATAATGGGCAGCAGTGTGTAGAGAAACTTCCTGGAAACTTACTGTAGTGCAAAGAGCAGAAGTAGAAAAGGAGGAGGAAGAGCAGAATAGTCAGTTGAAAGTAGAAACGCTGAGCAGAGACTGGTGAAGAGAAACAGAGCAGAACATCAGACAGAAAAAGGTAAAAATCATTCACTTTATTGCCTTTTTTTGTTTGTTTTTAAATACGCTTGCATAATTAAGTCTTTACTAATGTTATAAAAATGCTTTTTAAAATAAGAAGTGTGCATGAAATATTTATATTTATTTCTTTTCTTCTTTTATCTGTACTTTTAACAAATAAGGAATGTTTATTATTTATTTGGCACTTGTGTGATTTCACAAATTCCTGAAACATTACAACGTTTTAAGCATTTCAAGATGACAGCAGGATGCACCTACAGATCCGCCAAACATGCAAAATCCTGTATTTAAATCTGTGCCGTCAACCGTGGAGGTGTTTCTGAGCTGGTTTCACCTGCTCAACTCACTGTGTGTTTATCGCACTTCGTTTGTGCACCTGAAAGGAAGAGTGTTCTTTTCCTGTGGAGGAACAGATCGTCTAAATCGTCATGATGCTCGCTCTCATCTGGGCAACTCTACTCTTGTCTGTGAGTGGACGTACTGCGACCAGAGATAGACGAGGTAAGTTTATTGAAATCTTCATTCATGTTAAATATGATGGCACCTTAAATATTATACATCATAGCAAATGTCCTCTGAAATTCTATCAAATATCTAAATCTATTTCATAAGCAAACTATACTTAATAAGTAAATAAATTGCATCCTACGTGTGTGTAATACATCTCTAACTTATCCTCAGTAAAACAGCACGTGAGCCTCATACATCATTAAGGCAATATATTAAATCAGTGAAGTATAAAGAGGTGCCACCTTTCAGTATCAGTGATCTTTATTTATCAGTGATTGGGTTCAGTGAAAGTTTAAACATCTTCTATTCATGTTTGTATTTTCAGAAGCACCAGTGAAGAACAACCCAAACTGTGATGAGGACAAACCCTGTAACATCCTGAGTGAAGCAAATATAACAGCAGAGGCTGGACTCTGTGTTGTTATACCCTGTTCTTTCACTGCCGAAGATGGTTTTGATGTCAAAAATATAACTTGGTACAAGTGTGATGAAAAAGGTGACAAACCAATATATAATTCTAAAAACATTCGACCTGAGTATGAAGGACGGGTGTCACTGCTGGAGTCTGACTTCAGGAAGGGAAACTGCAGCATCATCATCAATGACCTCACCTCGTTAGACTCTGGATCATACTATATCAGAGCTAATGGTAGCAAGAAGAAAGCGGATTGCAAAAACAGTGTCAAAGCAACTATCACTGTGACAGGTATGAACAGCAAGAAGTGTATCTGCAGTGACAGTGTTAGCGGTTATCTTCACACTGATTCCACTCACAGACTAAATCCTCCACTTACTCGCTTTATTTTTTGTTCTTAGCTCTGAGTCAAAAGCCCAACATGATGATTCCTCCTCTGACAGAGGGACAGCAGACCACACTGACCTGCACTGCTCCTGGTCTCTGTTCTGGATCTCGTCCTACTATCACCTGGAAGTGGAGAGGAGCAGGAGGGAAGGATTCTGACATTACAGGAAATGTCACTGCTTTCCAGACTGAGAGATACAGCTCAACTCTGACCTTTACTCCTTCAGCTGAACACCATGGTACCAATATCACCTGTAAGGTCAACTTTACAGGTGGCTCAGCTACAGAGGAGACACAAACTCTTACCTGTAAGTAGAACACACTGCACATTATTGTTGAACATCAGTCTTTCAATATCCTGAAACTAAATTGAGTTTTCACAACTTAAACAGTGACATGAACCTTTGAGGTTCTCTCTTAAAGTAACAAATGATCTAGTCTGTAGAAGTAAATTCATTTTTATTAAAATTACTCTTATTTATGCTTTTGATTAATATATTGTGTGTATAGGCAGAGGTCAGCAGCACCAACTGGTTTAGGATTGAGCCTCAGTGTTTCATGACTTTCATCAGTTATTCATGTCTCTGTCTGTGATCAGTTCTTGCTCTTACAGGCGTAGCTCTAACTGTTTAAGGTCACACCTTTGCGTTACTGCGTTACTGACCACTGCGTCAAACTTCACAGTCAACAGTATCGCCACTGCACCTGAGACACATCAAAACGATGGAGATGATGATGGAGAAGCAAAGAAAAATGTTACCAACACAAAAAACGAGCCAGAAGAAAAAGGCAAGTGTCCACGACTGACATACCTTCCCTGACATTCTGACTGTCTGTGTTTTATTGTTTAATGTGACACAAAAGGGAACAACAATTTGTATTTCTCTGTTGATTCCAGGTCTATTAGCAGATGTATTAGACGTTGTTCTACAGCTGCATGGCATCACTGTGTTTTTGGTCGGCTTTGTGATGGGGATGCTCCTTTCGGCAATCATCGCATGCCTGGTGGTAAAATGCTGCAGGTACTTCTTTTTAAAATTATTATTATTAGTCATCCATCCATCATCTATACACCGCTTAATCCTC